TTTTTTTGTTTTTTGTTTCGCTACACACGCACACACACACACATGTATGTATGTATGTGTGTATGTATATATATATATATATATATATATACATATGCAGCAACTGGCTTGACAGAGCGAGAAGGTGCGAGAGAAAGAATTAGTGGTTGTTTTTTGTTTTGTTTTGGTTTCCCTCACCTGCTTTTACTACCAACGCTTTGTTAGCTTTCCACTCCTCCTCCTCCTTGTCTTTGTGTGTGTGTGTGTGCGTGTGTGTTTTCCTCCCTTTCCTCGTCTCTTGTTTGTTTGTGTGGGTTATATTTCCATTTAATAGCGTCGGTTGCGTGGAAAGGAAAGCCCCCACTGAGCTCCTTGTCCCACGCCCACGGGATAGCAATGCACCCACCTGTATGCACTCTAGCGGCGTCTACAGGGCAGCAAGCTCTGAATACCATCAAATTTCTTCCTTTTTCGTTATTCTGCGCTTTGGTGTGGTATTTGGATGCATCTTTTTTTTTCACCCTTGCATGTCTTGGATGTGAAAGAGAAAACTGTGGACAGTGAATCGAGAGTCAGTGCGGTTTAGGAAGAGGAGTGTTTTTAACCTGTGTGTCGTGTGGTCCGTGGGTACACAATAACAGGATATAGCGATACACGCGCGTGTTTGGTTCAAAGAAAACGAGGGAAAAGGCCAAAGGAACAGAAAAGATGCGGCTACCTTTGCCTCGTTTTGTTTTATTTACGATGGCCACAGTCGCAGCAATGTCGTTGAACGTGGAAGCTCAAAGCAAAACACAACATGAACCGGTTGCGCCTGACCTTCTCGCCCCAATGAGCCCCTCCTCGCAGTATTATTTGATTGGTGTCATCAGTTTTTTCATGGTCGCTTTGGCCACTTTTCTTGGTGTAAGTGCCCTGGTGAATATAGACTACAGCGACGACACACTTCTCATGGTGGAGGTGGCAGAGACGATGGAGGAAAAGTGAGGAATATTGAACGGGTTTCAAAGAACATTGAGAGGTGCTTACATAATATATATATATATATATTAGGTGCTACTGACTTATTTCAGCTTCCCTGCCTCCTGCAGCTGCTCGCTACTGTTTTTGTTGCTGGGGCAGATGGCGTCTGACAAGGGGTAACGATGGGAGTAGTGGTTCTGTGACTTTTTGTTTTATTTTGTTTGTGTTGATGGTGATGTGGCGTTATCTTTTTTTTTTGTCTTTGTTGTAATTGCGATAAAGTGTAACTGAGGCACAAAACAGTTGGGAATGGTGGCGGGAGATGGAATTAAGCATGCGATCAAGCTCTGCCTTGAAGACAGGGAAAACTTTGAGCGGTTGATGCAACTTGGATCACTGCGTCTACAAAGTGAAGAGACTTACACAGATTACTTCTTTGACTTCCCTTCGCGACTCTTGAGCCGTGGCAATGGTGTGCTGCGGCTTCGTGTACCGGATGCTGCGGGGGATACGGCGACGCAGACTCTCCCTTCTTTGGTGTTGAAGAAGAGTAATATCGTGGACCGCGGGGATCAGATGTGTACCACCTATCAAGTACCCAAACTACCTGAGGAGGTAAGGGACGAGCTTTGCAAAAGCAAAGACATCATGGGGGTGCTGAGGCGACTTTCCCCCCGTCTGAAAGAGGATGCAATTGCCCATATCAGCCGCATCATAGAACTATTGGAAGATTTGGAAAAGGCCTCCGGTGCTGCAGAACCCATGAAAATGATGGGCTCGTTGAGGTCGCACCGCCGGGTATACAATTACGTATCGGAGGATAGTTCTGAGAATGTGGTGGGAACCGATGAATATTTTGCGGGAACTGGGAGTCTTTTGCAGGGCGCAAGCATTCGTCTAGATGAGACGGACTTCCCCTTTGGAAAGAAATACGAACTTGAGGTGACAGAATTTGAAGATCCATCTGGAGACGTTGGTAAGGACTTGGACGGATTTCTGCGTTTGCACCAGATTGAGTACAGTAAGAGTTTAGAGAGCAAATCCTCACGATTTATGAAGTACTTGGAAGGGTTTCATACATGCTCCGTGGATATTGCGTGGGTGCAGCTCAGTATTGCCAGCGATAAAGGCTACGAGGAGGTTTGCAATTGGTTAGAAAATGATTGTCAAACCGCCGCTTTAATTCCAATTTCTGCGGCACTGTCGCAGGGATCTGGATACCCGATGTCGCAGACAAGCGCGATCAGTGACTACTTTCCTAACCATGGGGAATTTCCCATCTCGTATAACAGGCAGGAGATGGTTTCTCAGTCACTCCATTTACGGTCACATCACACCACGGGTGAAGATGCGAGTCCTAACAGCGGTGACGACAAACTGCAGGAGTCGAATGACTATGAAGAGTATCAGGAGAACTACTACTTTGACGATGCATTGAATGGTGTTTTGAGCAAGCGTCAGTGTATGATGGAATTGCGTTACACTTCCCAGGGCCACAAGTTTATTCTCTCGTTGAAGGAGGGCCAAACCGTAGAGAACGGGTCCCAAAACGCCACCACGCTTCGCGGAGAAATCACGGGTGACATGGCTCGACTTCTGTTACGGTCTCCAACAGAGTTTCTGCAAAAGATGCGAGAGCAGAACTCCGTCGCCAGTGCTCTGTGGGATGATTGTAGTATTCGCGAGTTGTCTGTAGTCGCTTTCTACCGAACCAAGCGCCGTGTCTTCACGCGTCCCATCGCGGAGGTCCCTCCGTCATGGTCCTTGCAAGAGAAGCGGATGAGACAGACGTCAGACGATGACGATGTCGACGCTGAACAGCAGCAGTGGCACACAAACACTGCTCTACCGTCGTTAAAGATTCACGTGGATAATACACTTGTTGATTTTACTACGCCGCCCCAGAATTATGCAGCTATCGCAGCTGCGAAACCCTCTTGCACGTTTGGCAGCCTTGCGACGTTTTCCAAGAGTAAGGATGATATTCAGCTATACGAGATTGGGACAACGTGCTCTGGCATTTCTGTAGAGATGCAGGAGTACGTTAAAAAATGGCTTACCTCAAGTATGGATAAACTTCGGGTGGAGTGGAAGCTGGCCCGTCAGACAAAGCTGGAGCAGTGCGTAACCCTTTTGCTGAAGCAGCAGAGAAAGAGGGCCAGAGAGGTGTGAGTCAGCAAGACCGCACTGGGACGAATGTGACCGCACATCCATTTCAAAAAAAAAAATGCTAGGAGAGTGCCCGCACCGGCACAAAGAACAATGATTTTATTTATTTATTTTTGAAAGAAACGTAATAAGAAGTTTTGTGGGGAAGCTTTCCGCGTATGACTAGGGAAATGGAAACAGAGGCTCGTAGAGAACATTGTGTGCGCGCGTGTATGTGTGTGTGTGAGTGTTTTTTGATGGAGGGGGCACCGAGCGAAGGAGGATGAGGAAAACGGAAATGCAGGACGGATAAAAATCGTCTAGAGCGGGATAAATCATTAACATGTGGGGGGGGAGGGGAGGGGAGGGGGGGAGGGTAAAGAAAACGGTCAGGAAACATTGCTGAGTGGGTTGCCGTTGGGGGATGGAGCCTCCCAACGTCGGCTCCTCTCCCGCTTTGTTGCTTGGTGATTATTGGTATAAACAAGCGAGCAACAGACACAACCATGCGCAGGCATTATGTGTGTGGTTGATACTTCTTTTGCAGTCCTCTTCTCCTGGTATCCTGCAGGGTGCGTACGTGTTCCTTTTGCTTTATTCCTTTCCCCTTCTTTTTGCTTATTTACCTTGTTCTTGCGCATCCACGCTGTGCTGCACACAACTCTTCACGGCAGAAGCAGTGGCGCACACAGCTACCACGTAAACAACAGAGCGGAGGGCCCCCCGTCAAACACAGGTCGGACATCTCACTGATCAGTGAAGCCCGGAAAGGCCCGTGTTTCCCCCTCCACTCAGACACAAGAATCAGAGGAAGAAAAAAAACAACACAAGAAAGAAACAAAGGTATCCCTGCAAGTTATGGGATCCCTAAAAAAAATGGCTCCTGTGGCAAAGCAATCGGCTTTGGCCACGGGATCACAGCTGCCGAAGCCTCGTAAGAATCTTGCCTCGCGCAAAATTCACACGGAGGGCCGCATTGTCGCCAAGAAGGAGTTGGCCAGCACTGGGACGAAGAAGAAGCATCGCTGGCGCCCCGGCACCGTTGTGATGCGTGAGGTGCGCCGGTATCAGAACACCACTGACTTCCTTATTGCCAAAGCCCCGTTCCGCCGCCTTGTGCGAGAGATTGTGTCCAATCTGAAGGATTCATTTCGTATGAGTGCCACCTGTGTGGAGGCGCTGCAAGAATCCACCGAGCTTTACGTTACCTCCGTTCTTGCCGATGCCAACCTATGCACGCTACACGCCAACCGCGTTACGGTGTACCCAAAAGACATTCAACTGGCGTTGAAGTTACGTGGCGAGCGTTTGTAGTTCCACTGGAGTGCGTGCATAATGTATCTGTGTATGTGTGTGCGCCTTAGAACAGAGAAGTGAGTATCCAACGTTGTGTTGCGTACGTTTAACGAGTGACGCAGAAAAGAAAGTCTTGAAGGAGGAAGGCAAGCAAAACCAAAAACGAAAGATAAAGACACGAGGTTTGCGAAGACACCAAATTACATGCATTCCACCCAAACTGCGAACGAAGTTTCAAAAAAGAAAACGAGGGGGAATAAGATTGGGGGAAGAAGTGACGAACAAATGAAAAATAAGAGGAAAAAAAAAGTGTTTGCGACAATTCCAGGGCAACTGAAGCAAAAGAATCTCAATTTATGACAAAGGAGGAGACGGAGGTGGACGAAAGCCGAAGAAACAAACGAACGAGATGAAAAGGGGGAAAAACAAGTTGAACAGAAGGCTTAGAATTAAGGCTTGCATGAGGGCGAGAGTTGTGTTCGTTGGCGTCAATTACATCAGCGTTTAGACTTTTCTTTCTCCCTGGAGTACAACATTCCAGCAACGCAAATAACTGACCCCCCACCCCCCTCCCTTTTTTTTTTTTTGGTTTTGTGTGTGTGTGCGGCTTTGTTTCTACCACGTCTACTATTATTGTTCTCCTCCCCTCCCTCCCTCTTAATTTTCATTTTCTCAGATGCTTTCCTGCCTGTACCTCTGTGTACTCATTTTTTAATCATTTCTCATTACCCCCCTCTTTCCCACTGTCCTTTTTTTTTTATTCTTCGAGACACAGCGTGAACAACCAGGAGCAGTCACAGTTTGGGCTGAATGCTATAGAACAGGTATCTGTCTTGCATTTCTGCCTTGTCTCTACTGCTACGAACACTTGTAATGCCACATCCCGCCTACTTGCTAGGCATTTGGGTGAAGGGGGTGATTGTTCCCTGGTTGTTGAACACTCAATCACCACGGTGCTGTGCTACTCTTAGTGTACTCCATATTATCCTCCGCATTCTGTTTCCACCAAATCTTATTAATTTTTATTTTTCTTGCTTGCCTCGTCGCCGCGACGTGCTCTTGGGGAAGGTGGAAATAGCGGTGAGCAAGCAAAGCAGCGGGGTGTTCATTCAGCGGGTAGGGAGAGCGAACAGATAATAACACACAAACGAACAAACAATAGAAAAAAAAAAAGGGGGGGGAGTTGGGGCTGCGTGAGTTCCGCAGTTGAGGTTCAGTTTCAAAGGTAGACGGAGCTGCAGGGAGCGCTTCAGTGGGAGCATTTCTGCGTTAAACTACACGCGCCGTACTGTTTTCAAAAAAGAACGAAAAAGGTTTTTTTTTGTTTCTCTTTGGTACGGAAGGAGTGGCTGAGGCGGGAGACGAGCGTCCTGTAGCAGGCGGCTTCTCTCCACGGCGGCTTGAAACTTCCCGCAGCAAACGATAGAATACAGCGGCAACTAAAAGACAAGGCGGTGATACGAAGGCATTCTGTGTTATTATTATTTTTTTTTGCCTTGAACGTAGAGAAAACATTGGCAGGCATCCATTGAAGAAGGCAGATAACGCAGCGGGAGTGAAGTATTAGATCCGTTGCCGATGCCACAGTCACTTTGGCCACTTGTGGTGTTTGCAACGTGTCTGCTCGTTATGGCAGGATGCGCCAAAAGCGAGAAAAAAACGCTTCGCTCCGCCGTTCTTCTGAACCTTCAAGGCACGAAGATGACGGGTGAGTCGCTGGAAACTGCGATTGGCAAATACATTACAAACTCTGGTGGGGCTGTCGCCGAGCTATTTTCCCAAAGACCTTTTATCCTTGACTCGAATGGAAGTTTGCTCTCTGCTCTGACGCAGGTGGAGAAACTTTTTTCCGATGAACAGTCAGTTGTCGATGTATTGTTTCTTGCAGAAACTGCAGACGTTGCTGTTGGCGTTAGTGATGCCTTGAAGCGAAGTGGCAAAGCCCATTCTCTCACAATTATTTCAGCACACACAGCAAACCCTGCATTATGTGATGTGGAGGTTAATTTTAACACAGTTTGCCTTGTGCCGCGGGATTCCGTGAATGTTCGCGCTGTATTAGAGACCGTATCCTCTGAGCTAGCGTGGTACTCTGTTGCCGTTGTATTTGGCAGTGGCGCGTACGGAACGGGTGTAGAGTCAGTTTTGGACGCGCAAGTGAGACTTGCGCGTTCGGCACCAACCGTTGTCACGAAGGTGTTTATCAAAGTCGGTGGGACGTTGGAGGACGATGACAATGTCATTCGCAAGGTGCTCAAGTATCGTCCGACAGGTATACTTTGCTTTGTGTCAGCGGCTGAGCTTCTGCGGCTTAGGGCTGCGATTGAGCGTCTTGGAAAACAGGATGAGCTATTCTTGCTCGGATCACTCGAGGCAGTTAACGTGATTGACGCTTTGCAAGGCTCAACGCATGCATTTAAGAGGCATTGGGGAGCGCTCTTTATACCGAAGTATGCGTCAGTTGAGAACCTCGTCTCACAAGCCTATTTTGATCTTCAGCACCTTGACGACTACGGTGCGTTGGTTGTGAGTCATTTGTTTGACGCTATGCAGGCCATAGGGTTGGCTGGTGGCGCTTCATCCACCGCAATTCGGTCCGTGCGCTTTGACGGGTTTACTGGCACTGTCGCCTTTGATGCTACAACAGGGCAGCGCGAGGAGATTGTCTATTCTCTTGTCACCAAGACTTACACTGCGTATCAATTACTCATTACGTGGAGTCGTAACTCCAGTGCAACCAATCCAGTCATCAGGAACTTTAATCCGACAGAGACAAAAGCCGTGATTTTGCCATCACCTCTACGTGCAGTGACGGTGTGCATGGCTGCTGCACCCACTTGCTCCGAGGCAGAGGCTCTTAACGCAATGGTGTACATATTTCTTCTTCAGAATCGCAAGACGAGTTCCGTGCAAAGGGCGACGACGTTCATTCCCTTGGTGCTCGATGCAGGGCTGAGCGGGGTGCAGGGGTTGGTTTCGTTGATCCCGGTGGCGCGTTCCTGCTCTGTGTTTGTAGGACCTGGACGCGATCGCGTCGCGCTGGCGCTCACACCGGTCGTTAACCAATTTGCCATCACTCAACTTGACTATAACACAGCGGAGGAGCTATTTTCGGATCGTATGTTGTATCCGTATTTCTCTCGCTCTACCCCAACGAATGCATTTAATTACATGATCTACGGGGATGTGTGCGCGTATTTTGCGTGGGAGCGGGTGGTCATTGTGGGCTTCGATGATCAATTTGGACGTGCCCGTGTAGAGTCGATGCAAAAGACTATGCGTCAGCGGAATATTCACGTGGAAAAGGCTCACATGGTTCCAACCGCAGATAAGGAAGGCCTTGTGAGCACCATGGAGACTGTTTACAAGAAGGATATTGCCCGTATTATTATTCTGGTCCTGCCCCTCTACGGTGATGACGCGAAGATTTTCTTTAACCTCTTCACGGAGTTTAGTTATATGAATAAATACATCTTTTTTCTAAGTAACGAACTCTGTCAATATGCCGCGTCTCACCCCACCGAACGGAATAAGGCTCAGAGCTCTTTTTGTGTCTTTCCATATGTGCTACCGAAACAATTGGAGGCCATCAATAAAGAAGCTGCACAAAGTGGTCTCTACAAGGAGCAGGCGCAGATCTTGTTGCAGAGTGGCTTTGGTGCCGAAGTGGATCGCTGTAACCTTACCACCATTCGCAGCGGGGATGCGTTTGCAGTTGACGCAGCGTACACTGTTATTGACAGCGTCAATCGAGCAATGAATGCAGGGGTAAATCTTAACCGTAGCGTCAACCTTCTGCCGTTTGTTCGAGCGACCTCGCTGAGTGGTTTGACAGGAAACTTTTCTATTGGCAAGACAGGGAATCGTGACGTTGCGTCGTTTGGACTTGACATTCAGATGATAAATCGTACTCTCTACCTAGGAAGGTGGAACAGCAGGAAATCGCCGTCGTTTCGCTACACAGCCACTGAGCCTATTGTCTGGATGACGGGCAGCAAGGAGACTCCGGCAGACACATTTCGTGACATTCATTTTATTTTAGGCACAACGGTGACGGCGAGCCCAGGCACCATTGTTCTCTCAGTGTTGGGCTTCGTTGGTACCATTGCCGTCTTCGCCTTCTGCTACCGTCACTACAAGCTGCAAAAGCTGGTGGAGCTTAGCCTTCAGAGCAACTGCGTTCCCGTTACAGAGGAGGAGATGCGGCGGCTGCAGGGTGCCCATGCACTGAAGCCAGGAGTGTAGCAGTACGTAGGGAATCAACAACAACAGGAGCAGAGGGCAAAAGGGACAAAACGCATTACGACCGATGATCCTTTTTTCCGTCTTCTCGTCGCATCCTTTTTTTTTTTGTTTGTGGCTTCTTTGTTTTCGTTTTGGATTTCATTGGCCTCTGCGGTGTTATTATTTCGCTTAGACGTTATTCATGCGGTGCTGTCGTCATTACAGCGTCTCTTCCCGTTTTTTTTTTGTTGTTGGGATGAATCTTCGGCCTGGAGAGAAGCAGCAATGCATGCCCGTTCCGCCTTGAATACACATCAGCTCCGTTTGGCCCATTAGGTGGTGTTTTTATTTTTTGTTTTGTTTTGTTTTCCTCTCTTTTCGAGCGGTGGACCGCACGTTGTTTTGTGTGTGTTGTCGTCATCGTCGGCTCCGTCCCTTCTGATGATCACCTTTTTTTTTTCTTGATCTCTCAGTGAGTGTGGCGCTGCAGCGGTCTGTGGGCACCTGCGTACGGCATTTTTTCGGTCACGAGACTGCTGAGACCACTCTCCTTTTTCTTCATTTTTATTTTTATTTTTACACATCCACAAACAAACAATAATAATGTTTTCCTGCCTTTATTCGCAATACCAATGACTACGTGTGACAGTGCAACACAGAAGGGAAAAAAGTAGTATAAATAGCGGTGAGGGGCGTAAGGTTGTGGGGTTGTGGGAATCCAGTGCAGTTGACAGGGCATTACCCACAATAGTACTGAACGTTCTGCCGCTGGTTGCTTTTTAGAGGAAGGAGCAAGCAGCAGTAAAGGGATAGAGGTGTGGACGTACGCGGCAGCGAGGCGAGCCAGTGGGTGGTGAGGGGTTTCCTGCAGACACTCAGCGGCGCACGCACAGAGTGAAGTAGAAAGAGCGACGCTTTGCGTGTGGTCGTCCCACCTTCTACCCCCGAGGAGGCACAAACCGAGGCGCAGAAGCGAAGACACCATCAAAGCAACATTGGTCGGGCATTAAACAGGCACGACACACACACACACACACACACTTACCCGAAAGAATACGAGCAACAACAACATCAATAAGAGGAAGAATTCGGAGGAAAGGGAGTGACGTGGAGCAATGTCGGTTTTTTGCACAAATGATCGTTTCGCTTCTTTAATTACTGCGCCTGAGGTGTCGCAGCAACTTCAGAAGCGCCTAGAAGATCTCGTCTCGCGATCGCGTCAGAGCCACGCGGAGAACCACAGGTTATACAGTTTTCCATTGGATGTGCCCATCACAATGGCTGATGTAGAGCGGTGGGGTCAACGCCTTGGTGATAGTGCCCCACCGCCGGCAACACCAAACGCAGCATTCGTGGGTGGTGGTTTCACAGATCCAGCAGCTGTGATTTTTATGGGTGAGGCAGTCGATCGGGAGCGCGCTGTGCACAAACTGGCTCCGATGAAATTGTTTGACCCACGGCAGGTGGATCGTACGCCCATGACAAAAATTCTTATTCACAGACGCACATGGTTGCCGTATCGTCAGCGTTTGCCGGTGTATCAGTGCCGTGGACCCATTCTTAATGCTCTGCGCAGTAGCCAGGTTCTAGCGCTTGTGGCTCCTCCCGGAAGCGGTCGCACATTGCAGATGCCGCAGATTATATCGGAGACTGAAATTTTTAAGAGCAAACGTCTAATTGTTGTGTGTTCGACAAGTCTTTCAGCCTGCCGCACAGCTGAGCGGTTGCGGGAGGAGCGTGGCGATGCTGCCACCTCCAACACGGTCGCTTTGTGTACACCCACTCGCTACGAGGTAGCGGAGGGGACGCTGATCGCAGTAACTACACCTGAGATGCTCGTCCGTCAATTGTTGTGTGACCCTTTACTACTAAACGTTGTCTGTATTATTTTGAACGATGTGCATTTGCGATCACCTACCACAGAGCTCTGTATGTCACTTCTGCGCAGTACTTTACAGGTACTAAAGGAGGAACAAGGAGTAAAAAAGCGTGGTGGGCCTTTGCACGTTGTGGCAGATTGTTTTGAGGATGCCATTGCCACGACGGTGACCGAATTCTTTGGTAAAGAGTGCACAGCCCGCCTAAATGTTTCTCAGGTGTTGCAGCAGGATCTCAAGGCGTTTGGTACGGAGGCGCAGCATGTCAGCCAAATGTGGTCCCCCCCAAGTGTGCTGCTCCTTGAGGAAACCATGCAGTGGCTTGCAAAGTGTGAGGAGGAGGGTAGCTGTATTTGCCGTGACACGGGTGAGGATCTTCGTAACTATGTGGAGAACATTAGCGTGGCGGCGAAGATTATGGCGGCCGAAGAAGCGGAGTTTACAAATAACGAGAAACTCAGATCCTACTGGTGTCCAATTATTGTGCAGGCTGTGAAGCACTACGATCGTGCGGAGCGCAAAGAATTGTTGAGGAATGCCGAGCAGCAAAAACAACAACAAGAACAACAACAAAGACATCTACCATCTGTTGTAGTCATTGTTCCCAACGTATACATCGCCTCGGTAGTGGAGGAGGCGCTTCGTCGTGCGATAAGTGACTCCACAGTTAACTTAGAAGAGGCTTGCCCTCTACCATTTTCATTGCATCTCCTGCTGGATGGTGTCACGACGCAAGACGTGGATGATGTGCTGCGGTTCGGCGATGCCGCAAAAAGGGAAGGAAAACGAATGGTCTTGTTGACGACGCCCACCACAGCGCACTCGGTTCTCCCACCCACATGGGAAATAGGCTTGGTGGTGGATTGCGCAAGACGATCCTACGCTGCGTACGATGACAGTACGGGTGCTGACGTCTTTATCACTACCTACAGTCTTGTGCAGGAGCTACGCTACCGTCGAGTGATTGCTCGCCTTCGCCGAAGCGAGAGCAGTACAGGTGAACAGGATGCTACTCACCCACCGGTGTGTATGGTGGTTCAATTAATTCCCAAATCCATCCTTTACGGCGCCAAACATCGTCACATCAGTGTGGATCATGGTCACCACCCCATTTTTAATCTGAGCTGGGACGAGTACGTCGATTTGTATCACCTCCTGCAAGCACGAGAAGAGGGGCTGCGCTGCCGCGAGGTGGGCACAGTTACTCCAAATTCGGGAACTAATTATATCTTATCATCGATGGTGGCAAACTTGGTCCCTTTAAATTTTATAGGTGTCCCAACTGCGTCCACAAGTCGCTATGAAAAGCTGCGTCGTACATTTGCGACGGTCGAGCGTCATCTTAGGCGACTAGGACATTTGGTGTGTACAACAGTTGACTCAGCTCCACGATTATCACCACTCGGTGTGGCTGCCACGTGCTTTGCGTGGCCTATTGAGGTTGTGCGTCTGTTGCTATTTGCACGACTCGACGACTGTGTCTTGCCGGCGAGTGTTGTTGCGGCAGCGTGGATGGTGGGTAATATGTTCTTCGATGCTGCGGCGGACAAGGAGACAGAGGAGCTAATGAAGGAGGCTCGGGTTTACTTCTCGCTTGATTCTGGCAGCGATGTGGTGAGTGTATTTAACGCCTACCACACCTGGCTTTGCTCACGTAAAGTCTCCAATGAAGCATGTGACGCCTTTTTGGATGAAACCTTGTTGTCGAATCGGGCCTTAATGCAGATTGAGGCCCAACAACTAGCGCTACTGCGTGTACTTGAGGCGACTGGGGTTTTTGGTCTGCCTTTGACCTCTAAGCAGTCGTGTAGCAATGAAAACGAGGAGGCAGTTCCTGCGAAGAACACAACGGCAACAGATGTTACCAAAGTGAGGACTACTACTACAACCACCATAGATGCAGATACGGTGGCATCCCACATCCTTGAAATTCCGGTGGAGGACTTGCGAGAAGGGGAAATGATCTTTCGATGCGTGACAGCTGCAGTCTATCCATCCTGTGCAATTCCACACAGTGATGGAGTCGTGTCGACAATTGGCTTTGCAGACAAGATATCCTCAACAGTGTCTGATCCCAGTGCGTCCCCCACTCGAACGACCGTGCATCCAGCCATCTTTTCACCTAGATCTGTGATGAGTGTGGAGAAGATCTATCAGCTTCACGCGGAGCAACCGTTTCTGTATCTGGATCGCACACGTGTCGTAGATAAAGGGTTTTACGTCTTGGAGGAAGCGATACCACTTTCTAAGGATGCCGCTGTTATTGTCTGTGGCGATTGGCATGAGTGGCCGAAGTCACCGGCAACACGCTGTCGTGGATGGACTTCGATATTAACACAAGCCTGGCGCCAAACAAAACTTGCTCGGTCTCTGCCTCCTCCCGCGCAATTACCTGCAATTTCAGTAAAACTAAGGCTGTACGACACAGTTCGGGCTAAATCGGTGCTCGTGCAGACCGATGATACGTTTTTTTTCAGTATGCGGTCAACAACGGCACAATGGCTGCAACAGATGCGGGATCAAAGCCGTCGGCGACTGAGGGCACTGCTGTGTGATAAATCATGGCCTGCAAGAAGCGACGCGTCACTTGGGCTAAAGGAAGCCTGGGAATGGTGGTCACGACGAGGGCGTGGGGCTCAAGATTGGTTGCGGGAAGAGCGTGCCAGCCGTACTGTGGCAAACAATGACGTTGGAAACCGCGTTGAGACATTGCTGTGCCCGTATTATCAGTACAGTTCCAATCCAGGACGACCAACAGCTGTGGTGCCTTCGAAGAATCACATTGGCTCCGCATTGACATCATCTTTTGCTGCGGCTTCTTCGTCTGCCGCCGCTGCTGGTAGTGGTAGTGTTGTTTTAGATGCAGCCTCAGATGCAGCAGGGCGGCAACCTTCGGCCTACGTAGGCAAGCTACCTGAGCCTGTGATGGATAAAAATATTCAGCATGTGGCACAAAGCATTGCCAAGGCTCGTTCCCGTGAGCAAGAAGCCACCTTTTTGAAGATGTACCCCGACTTGTTTGCCTTTCTTCATCCTGAGCACGAGTTCCATGGCTACTACCTTCACGTTTTGCGGCGTGTAGGCCCGGAATTAGAAATTCTTGGCGACGACTTGGAGGAGCTTGAAATATTTCTGAAGGAGCTGGAAGAAGAGGTGCAGCGGGAGGTTGGCATCACGGCAACAGACGCCCTTCCCTCCTGTGAGGCACAACCCCACAATGCTGTCTTCGCGGCAAGTGAGCCAAATGGCAACGCACAATATCAATTTCAGGAGGTGAACGCGGAGGAGTACATGGCGTCTTATGGTATGCAAGTGGAAACAGCTGCCGAACATGCAAGAAGGCCACCAACGTTATTTAAAATACATGATGGACCTGTGTCTGGGCCAACGGCGATGGAAGGAGCCAACACAGCAACAAGCGTGTTGGGAGCAATAGGAGAGGAAGCTCCCACAGCGTCCTCTTTCTTTAATCAACCCATGATGTCTGCTAATGTAGTCTCATCTGCTGTTCCCCAGGACGGACCTGCCAAAAATGAAACAGTGCGAAAACCCATTCAAGTGGATCCCAATGCTTTTATTGGGAACTTTACGTTTGACAGAGGGCCAAAGACGGAGACACCTGCTTTTGACGGTAACAAGGCTGGCGAAGGCAACGGTGAAGTTGGCGGTGCCGGTGGTGGACTGACGCTGATGGAGCGTCTGTTGGCAATGAAGGGAGGAACGTCGGCATCTGTGGACCACGCAGCAGCGCCGGCGTCGAGTAGTGCCCCGGAGGAAAAGGTGTCGCTACAAATACCCGCAGCTCAGGCGGCACCCTCCGTGAGTGTTGGACTGTGGCCTGCCACAACGCTTCCACCTCCGTCACTTGCGTCAAACCTCACCAACGCCGCCTCTGCCTCCGCGGTTGGTGTTCCAGTAGGAGCTGCTCAGCAGGAAGTGCCAGTGGCAGCAGGTGCGGCACCAAACGCTCCTACTGCAGCCGAATTGCTTGCATTGATGGGCATTCTCACCCCACCACCAGCTGTGAATCCACTCACAATACCTCCACCGCCGCTTCCCGCAGAAGTTGTGGCTAATCGTTCTCCATCGATCCTTGCGTATCCACTGCCGTCGCGTGAGTTTGGTAACATTCACCTTATTCTTGCCAAGGCACTGGGAGAGACAATGGGTGTTAAGGTGGGGCCAACACACATCGTTGGCGCCATCGCACGTATTGATGTGCCTAACCACAAGGTGGAGGCACGAGCACTGGATCTCAAGTCTTTTATGTGTGTCGGTAGGAAGGTGAATATTTTTAAGAATGACCGTATTATTGACGGCGTGCGTCCGCCTGTTCAGAAAGCACAGCCGGAAAAGTCGACACTGCGCGAGGACGTGCCAGGCCAGCCCCACAAGGCGGATTACGACCCCGAAGGAGCAGAGAACGAGAACGGAAATGACGTTGGGATGAATAACGCGAAGCTGCCGCTGCAAGAGCGGACTAACGAGGGCGGACCTGTCTTCTCGCACTACTCTCATTATCTTCCACAAAACGAGCAACGCGAACACCCGTCAGATGAGACACTAATGCCAAAGAAGTCGTTGCATCCGCCGCAGATTGGTCTTCTGACTGACTCGGAGGACTGCGAGGATTCCTCCAGCAGCGTGCACTCGTCGGAGGCAGTCGCGTCATGAGAAGATCTTCACACACGCACAGACAGGGAAACTTTTCTTTTTAAGCATAAAACTGAGAAGAAAACATGGGGGAAAGAAAGGAAGTGGGGGGGGGGGAACGCGTGGGAGTAGAGTAAATTAATAAGAACTACGAAGCGGGATTTCCACGAGGCCCACAGTAAACACCACTGCCACCATCGCCGCCACGGGATTAGCAGAAGAAACAAGCGCAGAAGGAAAAAAGGGAAACAATGACGAACAGGGAGGAGGAGGAGGAGGAGGAGAGGGGAGAAACAGTCGGGCGGAGGCTTTTCAGTGGGAGTATGCGTGTGTGATTGTGGCAAGTAGAAGGAGACCAAGGGAAGCTAAGGTGGAACGTAATTATTTAATAAACGGAAACTGATACGAAGTCATTGTAGTAATTTAGTTAGGTCTATTTTCATTTCTGCTGCCATTGCTGCTGCTCCTACTGCCCCCCACTGCCGATGCTCTCACCTTGGAAGTCTTCATACCTCTTCCGTATTCTCTCACCCACACGAAAAAAAAAAAAAAAGGCGCGTGTCAAACGAAAAAGTGTAAGGCTTTACCCTCACATTTTGTATCAGACCTCTCTCCATTGCCTCTTTTTCGCTCTTGTTTTGTTGTTGTTCTTCTGGAAGTATTTTGTTTTGTTTGTTTTTCCTCAGTTATGAGGATTACTCCATGAAGGCCACCTAAGTTATGCCCATGTGAGAAAACGCTGTGGGACAGCTGTGGCACAAGCCTTTTGTCTTCACCTCTCACCACCCCTTTTATGTGACTCTCCTCCTCGCGTCGGTGTTGTGTGATGTTTGTTAGTACAACTGCTTCCCTTTCTTCTTCATTTCACTTCTCGCGAGTGCGAGGAGAAAGGGTTCCCGATCACGCAACTAGGCAGTGATGAGTCACGGCAGCAAGGTGCAGATTGGTTGCGACAAGGCGTTGCGCACTGATACGTTCAGTGCACCCAGCACACATGACTGTGGAAAGGCGTCGATGCCACCGACAGCTTTGCCAGATATGCCGACGATATCGAACATCAAGGTTACCTCGGCTGTGGTGAATTTGCCGAGGCGACAGCAGCAGGTGAAGGTTGAGGAGCCCAGTAGGAATTTCAGTGCAAACGAAGAAGCCGATGGGAATAGTAGTGTATCGATGACAGAGTCCACCCATAACAACTCCACCACCCGACGTGTTGAGACCATGACATTTGATGTAGAGCGCATTAGCCCGCCAATTGCGAACATGTTTCGTCGATTGATGCTAACGGAAGTTCCAGTTCTCGCATTTGACCGCATACTCATTGAGGAAAATGATAGCGTTGTGCCGGATGAACTTCTTGCCCATCGTATTGGACTTGTTCCAGTTGCTGGTCCCGTGTTAAAGATGCAGTTTGTAACAGAATTCAACCAGGTAGGCTTTGACGCCCTTGACCCCCAGCGTGTGTTGGTGTTTGAACTCTTTGCTGAGGGAAGACGTGACGCAAAGTCCACGAGTGTCTACAGCGGCGACCTCAGATGGACGCCACTACCAGGGCAGGAGGCGTGGGCGACTGGTGCAGACGAAGACCGTGTCTTTCTTGTCCATCCGGACATTATCTTGACAAAGCTAGGACCTGGGCAGCGCTTAAAACTGCGGGTGATTGCGCTGAAGGGCATTGGCGGTGTTCACGCGAAGTGGGTTCCCGCCTCTGCCTGCTTCTACGAGCTCAAGACAAGCATTCATTTGCGCGAGCCCGTGTGTGGGGATTCTGCGTTAACGTTGCAACGCATTTGCCCGGTGGGAGTTTTCGGCGTGAACGAGGAGGGTGAGGCGGAGGTGGTGGAGGTGGAGAACTGCACGCTGTGTCGCGAGTGCCTTCGCCGCGACGTGCACCCAGACATTGCCGACAAGGTTGTCGTCGAGAAGGATAAAACCCGCATGCGGTTTACCATTGAGAGCATTGGGCAGCTGCACCCCTCGCAGATCTTCCGGTATGCCCTCACTTTGTTTGCCGAACGCGTTCGTGACTTGGCCGGGCGTATTCGCGGCACGGAGGCTATTGTCACGGGTACCGCCGCCGCAATTCCGTCTGTCTAAGCAGGCTAAGGCAACTGAAACGACGACTTTCCCAAAAACAACATCCAAAACTTAAAATTAAAAATGAAAGCCAAAAGGGAAAAAGAGAAAAGGGAGCTGCAGTGAGGAGAAGAGGAATGTGTGAATGCCTATGCAAAGGTAGGGGCTGAAAGACGACGGAGTGTAAGAAATTCGGTACGGCGAAGTGGGCGCGGGCAGCCCCCCCCCCCAAAAAAAAAAAAGAAAGGAAAAAGAGTATGCGGCGGCCGACGCATTGGACCCCTATCACCTTCTCTTTTTCTCCTTCTCGGTCGTTACCGCTCACTGTGTGTGCCAGACGTTATTACTTTACCCTATGCGCCCGTTGAAATCTTTATCCTTTTTTTTATACATTTACAGCGTTCTTTCTCTCTCTCACTGTGTGTGCTCCGCTACTCACTCGTATAAAACATTAATGAGATATTACACACATGTTTCTCTTCATTCCAAATCTCTCTGTTGATACACGCACATGCACATGCCCCATGGAGTTACACGTGTCTGTGCACTTCCGTCTTTTCCTCTCAAAATGTGGATTTCCACATGTTGGGCGGTTTAAGATAAAAAAACTAATAATCTCTGAAATCTCCTTTCTTGTCCTTTTTTCTTTGTTGTTGTTTTGTTCTGGCGTACCTGCCATTACTTGCTGCTGTTGCCGCTCAATGCATAATGCTTAATGCTCGTCATTTTAGTTACTGTGGCACTACCCATCATTGTGTGTGTGTGTGTCGTACAGGAAGCAGTTGGCGCCTTTACTCCGGCAAAGGCGGTCGTCGCAGTCAATATTTAAGAGTAGCGCGGGGCCCACACATCTGGCAGGGTAGAAACAGGGTATACGAAAAAGAAGTCAGAGGAACATGACGCGGGGCAAGGGAAGCAATCCAGGGGTGGGTAACTTGGGCAAACACATCAAGCGGACGACACATAAGGAACGCTCACAACCGGCCTCACGTAAGCACCTAGGGCAACTTGAGAAGCACAAGGACCATGCTGTGCGTTCAAGGCGACGGAAAGCGAAGATGCAAAGGCTCCTACAGTTGAAACGGGCCGCGGCTCAGCGTAATCCGGATGAGTTTCACATTGGCATGACGAAAGCTGTTTTAGATATCGCTTCGGGGAAAATGAAACAACGGACGGTGTTAGAGAAGGGGAATCGGCAAAAAACGCAAAAAGTACTACAGCAGAATACACGCAATATTCAGTACCTCCAGTACAAGGCACAATCAGATCTGCACCGCGCCAAGGAACTCCTCAAAGAGGATGCATCAATAGCCATTACCTCCGCACCACCGCAGAACAAGCACATTGTGTTTGTGGAGAGTGATGAGGAATTTCGTCGCTTTAACCCTGTCAAGTACTTTGACGCCACCCCAGAGATGCTAAAGCAGCACCCTGCTGTTCGCGGCACAATTTCGATCCTGCAGAACACCGTTTTGCCGGAAGAGGTGCTGTTAACGGGTCCACGAATGCTTTCCTCATCCCAGCGTCGCCGGGAGCGTCGGGAAATGCAGGAGAAACTTCGAAAAAGTGGCGCCAAAACCACAGAAGAGCGTGAGGCTGTGGTGGAACGACTTCGTGCCAAGAAGGAGTTGAAGAAATACCGCTTTTCTTCTCTTGTAGAGGAGGCGGCAGCGTCCTCCGCCGCTGCAGATGGCCGTAATGACGGCAATAGCCACAGTGCTGCTGCCTGCGATAGTGAACCACGAGATGACGTGGAGCACGTCTTGCAGCTAAGGCGTGCGAAGGAGGAACAGGAGGCAGCATTAGCGGCTAGGAATAGGAAGGAGATTCAGCAGCGCGTGGAACGTGGCAAGAGCCTTAGCGCCTTGGCCAAAACGATTAAGCGACAGAATGAGAGTCTTCGCAAAAACCTGCAACAGAAGCGTGAGTCCCAATTTAAGCCGACAGCCGCACGTCGCTCGCGGTGAGTTTGTGTCCGCAATAATTGAAATCGAAACGTTTATGACAGCTGTGGAGGGCCCTACAGAAATTGGCGTGCTGTACACGCACACCAGAAAAAAAAAGAGGGAGAAGGTGGGAGCATCTCTGCTTTCACAATCGCTTAATGCTTTTACTGCCTTTATTATAAAAGGCAGTGCAAATAACATTAGTAGTGTTGAACTTTGAGAGAGAGAAAAAAAAAAAAACTAAAGCAAACGAGGAAACAAAAAAACAACAACAAAGAAATCGACGCACATTTACCAGAAAAACACGGAAGACATATATACCCCTTTTTTTCCCCTCTTGTACACACTTGAATACAGACACATACGGCCGTTGCTCCCTGGCTGCCGTGTGTGACACCCGTTTTGCACTTCATTGCACACCTCTTCTCGCATTGTTTTACAGGGAAGGATTGCAGCAAGGCGTGAAGAGTGAAAGGTGTTGTTGAAAAGGGATAAGAGTTGATTCTTCCGCTTCAACTTTTGCAGGAAAAAAAAATAATAATAATAATACGTATACACAGCGAGGGCGAAGGGGACAATAACAAATAAAGAAGTTGTATTGAGATCGATATCAATATTATTTCTTGGTAAATCATTGTTTGTGTCAGTTTAGTTGTAGTTGAGAGTGGTATCTTTTCAGGATATTAGCACTGACCAGAGGCAAACGAAACAGAAGAAAGAAAAAAAGTTCGTACTGTATTCTGTTGTGTAGCCCGGTGGCACTGTATATATATATATATATATATATACGAATACATAGATAGATATATCCAGGCAAAGCGTTTGATATACACATATATTTTATTTAGAGAAAATAATTTCAGAGGCAAACCGCCAAAAGAAGGCAAATAGCTTCAAACTATGCCGGCTAATTCCCCCAAACGTTCTAATCCCACTTCTGCGCGTCCGGTATCCACACCGAAAAGGGGAGAACGTGAGTTTCGACGTACGCATTCTTCCTTGTCTCTTATCACGGCACAACGCTCGGCGTTGGATGCTGCACAGGCGCAGGGGAACGCCATGAAGGTATATGTGCGTGTTCGGCCATTTAGTGAGCGGGAGTTGTCGTTGAGCATGCCGCATCATAGTACGGTGCGCATTGATGTTGATAACCCATGCTTTATTACGTTGTTGGACCCACAGAAGGATTTTAGACCTCGCGAAACGTTTAGCTTCACTCGTTGTTTTTGGTCTGTTCTGGAGACGAATGCCGGTGACAGCAGCAAAGGCAGAAGCGCTGGGGAAATCCATGGGTCTATTGATATGTTTATCAACAGCGTTACTTCTGCAAGGTGCAACCGGTACCGCGCAGGCGTGTGTATAAATACCACCAGCATGAGCGTTGCCTCTGCTCGCGGGCGTGCAGCCGCCGAATATTCAGTCCCTTTTGAAGGTGCAGGGTCAAACGCGGCGATTGCTTCAAGTGCTGCAGTTGTCCATCCACCCTACAGCTCGCAGGAGGACGTTTACAATGTGGTTGGGCGCCCTGTATTAGAGAATAGCTTGGAAGGGTACAATGGGTGCGTCTTTGCGTACGGGCAGACTGGAAGTGGCAAGACGTTCTCAATGTTTGGCTACTTTCCAAAGAGTTCTGACTTTACTGCTTCTGTTAGTCAGCATGGTTTTGCAAACAACAACGACGAGGACGAGGACGAGGACGAAGAGTGTGACGACACTAAGCTGTCTATTGGTGTTGGTTCCCCCACACACTTCAGGCATCTATCTGCGCCAAGTAGTCAAAAGGAACTTTTCATCCTGCCGTTGGGCACCCATGGAAACACGGAGCGTCAGGTAGCAGACACCGTCGATACGACACAGTTGGATCCTAATGAGCTGCAAGGCATCATTCCCCGCATCACGTCGGACTTGTTTAAAGGATTACAAGGGAAAAGGGACACTGATCCCTCTCACTCATACCGGGTTGAGGTGGAGTATTTTGAGATCTACAATGAAAAGGTGTTTGACTTGTTTCGCCCTCAAAAAGACGCCGATTTAAGGATTCGTCACAACCCTGTCAGTGGACCATACGTGGAGGGACTCACCTCGAGTGTGGTTAATGACGCTGCAGAAGTTGCCAAGGTGATTCGCAAAGGGAACAAGGAAAGACGTACAGCCGCCACAAAAGCCAATGACCGCAGCAGCCGCAGTCATGCAATTATTACGTTGAATATTACACGGCTGTTCCTTGATAGAAATGATAACACATGTAAGCAGCAAAGCAAGTTGAATCTTGTGGACCTTGCTGGCTCCGAGCGCACAGGTGCAGTTGGCGCGGAGGGCAAGCAATTCCTGGAAGGCACCAAGATTAATTTGTCTCTCACAACCTTGGGCCGTGTCATTGACTGTCTGGCAGATCTCTCACAGTCCAAGTCGCTTTCTGTGCCAGTGCCCTACCGCGACTCCAACCTCACATGGCTTCTGATGGACTCTCTTGGAGGAAATAGTAAAACATCCATGTTGGCTACCATCTCTCCTCACGGTGTGAACTTTGATGAAATGCGACAGACCATACGTTACGCCTCACGCGCAAAACAAATTGTCAATCAGGCAGTTATTAATGAAGATCCACAAGTGCGACAAATACGTCTCTTGACAGCTGAGGTGGAGCGTCTGAAAAAGACCATACGTGAGGCTGGGCTAAATGAATTTAGCCGTGACTACGTTGTGGAATTGCAGCGTCGTAATACCTTTTTGGAGAAACGCTGCCAGGACCAGGAAAAGACGGTTGTGGAGCTTCAGGCTGAGATAGAAGAGCGGAGGCCTGGTATGCGGATGGAGCGTTCACATACACTCTCAGCTAGGCGTTCACGCCCTGCTCATTTGCCTGAAACGAGTACATGTCGACGTTGTAGCAACCATGAGGAAAACGGCAACGCATTGCTGCCCACGACAAGACTTACCGACACCAAATCCGACGTTGAAGACATTCCTCAGCAACTCAATGGGGGAGGCCCTCAATGTGGAGGGCCTGACACTTCCAGCAACATGACTCATGTGGAGGAGCTGAATATCCGTATTCAAAATCTTAAGAGGGAAGTGAGCAAACAGCAGACCTTCATTTTGACTCAGCATAAACAACTGGAACGTTACTCCCTTTTTTGTATTAACGTGGCGTCGAACATTATGTGGAACGTGATGGTGCAGAAAGAAGATGAGTTTACACAGCGTGTAGCTCGCGTGATTAAGGACCAAAGCGCAAATCTGGGCAAGGATCTTCGCAGTCTTCAAGAGTCGCACCGTGAGGAAATGGAACAAACGAGGAGACGGCACATGGAAGAGATGAAAGAGTTGCAAAAATTATCGGCGTCCCGACTAAAGGAGTCCATTGAGAAGAGTAATGAGCTGTACCAGCAGCTTATTGACAAACACGTGGATAAGTTGAACTACGTGGAGGAGCGGATGAAGAAGAACAAGGAGGACTACAAAAGTGAAAGAAAGAAACTTGCGGACGAAAATGAGGCGGCGCGTGCGAGCTACAACGAACAGCTGCAAAATACGCGTGCTCAGCACCAGCAGGAAACAAAATGGTTACGTGACAAGATGAGCTCTGGCGCATCGGATTGTAAACGCCTAGAAGAAGCCGTTAAACGGTTGCAGGAGGTGCATGAGAGGGAGATGACGCGGCGGCAGGAAGAAGCGGACCGCCACTGCCAAGAGAAGGAGCAAGAAATTACTCGACTGAAGCAACAAATTGGCAATGAGGCCCAACGACAAGCAAATGACACGGCTGAGAAGGACCGTCAACGCCGTTCATTGGAGCGTGAGGTGAATGATTTGCGACGAGAGTTGCTGAAGGCGCAGGCAGAACGAACTCGCATGGAGCACCAGCACCAAACAGAGATTCAAAGCTTTGCTCAAGAGCAGGAACAGATCTTTAATGTTAGTAATGGTTTGCTTTCCGACTGGGATAACCGTTCCTCTGCGATAGACGCCTCCTTTGCTCAGTTGCGGACCCTGGTCCAAGGAAAAGACTACTTGAGCTTCCGGAGCCGTCTCCGTGACTCCACTGGTGAACGGAAAGACTACACCGCGTTACTTGAGGCTGTAGAGGAGCGAAAGCAACGCGACACACAGCGTTTCCGAGAGATTGTGCAGCAGCTGAAGCAGACTCAAGAAGACAGCAATGCGAGCCTCCAGCGTTTCAAGGAAGACGTTAAGAGCCAGCTTGTCAGCACAAGTAGGCCACGCGGTAATAATGTTGGTAAAAATACTTGTAGCAGCAGTAATAATATTGATGCTGGCGATAAGAAAGGCTCCGGCTCGGGCGGGGCAAAGGCGACAGTTACCGCTGGCTCAGCTGCAGTTGCGCCGAAGCAGGGGCGTCTCGCAGTGGCGCAAAGAGGAGGATCAAAGTAGCCGTCAACGACGGCCGTCGCTGATTGAAAGCTGTGAAGGTACACAACACACACACAACAAAAAAAAAAAGGTTTAAACTGGCGAAATATATATATATGTTTATGCTGCAATTTATCAATTTTTTTTGTTTTTTGTTTTTTTTTGTTTTTACTTACGTCCGTTTCTTTTTCTTTGTTTTTTGCCCGTCAACCCGAATTTTGTACCTGTTTGTTGTCTTACAGGCTGGCGGGACAGGGACTGAGGAGTATTTTATGGCAACGCGTATACAAATAAGGAGGAAACGAGAGAGAAGTATATAACACCAATGTCAAGAACACTTGGATAAGACGCGAGGAGAACATAATATCTTTTCACCTATTCATGGGGAATTGCCAATGTTGGCAGGTATGTGTTCTTTTTT